AAATATTCTTTTTGTTTTTTTCCATGAAATTTTTCATCATCCCCCTCATATATTCATAAGAGATGTTCGTCTATAGTTTTTGTTTTTTTTTCCCTAGGTCAGCAGTTCGAAACTACCAGTTGTTCCACAGGAGAAAGATGAGGCTTGCTGCTCCCATAAAGATTTATAGCCTTGGAAACCCTGTACAGGGTCGCTATGAGTCAGAGCCGACTCCACAGCACATAACAACAACAAGTACTAATTCGGCTATTGTACTTTTTTCCTTTAGGTAAGTACCCTGTTTATCTAGATGGAAATGTTAAGTTTGGCTTATGTTAAGACATACAGACTAGATTTTTACTTAATATGTTCACATATTTCTAAGTTATACACATAATTTAATTAAATTACATTAAAATGATAAAATACTTAGATTTTTCAGTAATTTTGAATTAGCAGGATGACATATATAAATAAGAATGGTTTTAACAGTTTTTACTATTGTATCAAAATTCGTCAAAGTACTTGGTCTAGTAATAATAGCTAATGTTCACTAATAATTTCCTATGAGCCAGACACTCAGCAAAACAATATTATAAGGATGGATGATCTCATTTACCATGTATCAAACAGAAAAGCAAATATTTTAGTGGTCTAACAAAAATGTTATTTTTTTCATTAGGACCCGTGAAAAATCATTATGATAAACACTGTTCAATCTATAAAGGATAGAGAAATGTGTGCATAATTTTGTACTATTATGCAAGTGTTGTAAAGTAAATATTCAAAGAAATAACAATGTATAAGTCAGTAGTCCTAGTTATGAAAATTTGTTTGTATTTAGACTTAAATCTACGTAGGACTTTACTTCATTAATATCACACACTAGATACCAAGCCTGATTCAGAAGACTATATGATATAAGGGATATCATTGCTGATGTCAGATGGATCTTGGCTAAAAGTAGAGAGTTCCAGAAAGATATTTATCTGTGTTTATGGGCTATGCAAAGTCTGTGTAAATCATAACAAATTATGGATAGCATTGTAAAGAATGGGAATTCCAGAACACTTAATTGTGCTCATGTGGAACTTGTACAGTAGACCAAGAGACAGTCGTTCAAATAGAATAAGAGGATACTGAATACTTTAAAATTAGGAAAGGTGTGCATTAGGGTTGTATCCTTTCACAACTTTTTCAATCTGTATACTGAGAAAATAATCCGAGAAACTAGATTACGTGAGGAAGAACATGGTATCAGGATTGGAGGAAGGCTCATTAATAACTTGTGATATGCAGATGATATAACCTTGCCTATTTAAAGGGAAAAGTTGACACACTTGCTGATAAAGACCAAAGATACAGCCTTCAGTATGGATTACAACTCAGTGTAAAAAAAAAAAAAACCCTCACAATTGGACCAAAATGCAACATTATGATCAATGGTAAAAATTTTGAGTTTGTCAAGGATTTCATTTTACTTGGGTAAACAATCAATTCTCATGGAAGCAGAAATCAAGAAACGAAATGGTATATTGCATTGGGCAGATCTACTGAGAAAAACCTCTTTAAAGTATTAAAGAGCAAATATATCACTTTGAGGATTTAGGTTGCCTGATCCAAGCTATAGTATTTTCAGTTGCCTCATATTCATGCTAAAGCTGGACAGTGAATAAGGAAGACAGGAGAAGAAGGGATACCTTTGAATAATGATGTTGACAAAGAATATTAAATATGCCATGAAATGCCTGAAGAATGAACAAATCTATGTTAGAAGAAGTGCAACCAGAATGCTCTTTAGAAGCAAGGAAGGTGAGACTTTGTCTCACATACTTTGGACATGTTATCAGGAAGGGCCAGTTCCTGAAAAAAGGACTTCATGTTGGTGAGGTAAAGATTCGATTCAAAAAAAAAAAAAAAAAAAAAACAGTAACAGGAAGACCCGCAATAAAATGGATTGACACAGTGGCTGCTACAGTGGGTCAAACAAAGCAATGATTGTAGGATGGCATAGGATTCTGTTATACATAAAATTGCTAAAATGGACCCGATGCAAGAGTACTTAACTACAACAATAGCAATACTTTATTACACAAAGGTTGTAAGTTTAATATAGATTATTTTATTAATATAACATTTGTTTTTAAGATTTTACTTTGGATTTAGGAAATATATCAATCAAAAAAACATTTACACCAAGATATAAAAGTACTATTTCTTTATTGTACAAATATGTAAGTGAATATTATCACATTATTCTTGACAACCCTCTAAAATGTTTTATGGTATAACTGTCGCTTTAATCTTTTTTTCAGAAAACTGTGAGAGTAGTGATCAATTTTAAGAAAACACAGAAGGCAATAGTGAGAGTTAGCCCACATGCGTCACTTCAAGAACTTGCTCCTATTATATGCAGCAAATGTGAGTTTGATCCATTACATACACTGTTGATGAAGGACTATCAATCTCAAGAGCCTCTCGACTTGACAAAGTCTCTTAATGACCTGGGTCTAAGAGAATTATATGCCTTGGATGTCAGCAGAGGTAAGTAGCACTGTTTGTTTCATTCGTTTGATAGGATGTATATATATGTACATGTGTGTCTATGTTTGTTTATAGTATTGTGTTGTTATTGTTGTGAAGTGTCATCGAGTCAGTTACAACCCATAGCAACCCTGTATAGGGTTTCCAAGGAGCAGCTGGTGAACTTGAACCAGTGACCTTGTGGTTCACACTGACTTTGCAGTCCAGCGTGTTAGCCCACAGGACCACACCAGGACTCCATATATGTTCTTAAATTCTTAGTTGAAAATGGATGCATTCATAGGTAGAAATAAACACGTGTCCCTGGAAATAAGGTAAAATTAAATATAAGAAAATTTAGCTTTATGAAATTGGAGCGAAAACACGCCTTTCTTATCTGTCATCCATACTTTACATTCTCCCATTTACTTATAATTTATTTTGGTGGAATTTAATATAATTTACATGGCTTTGAAAATTATACAGAATGAAAATTTTCATGTTGTCAATTTTTTGTTCTTTTAATCTAGTGTAAATTACTGTATACTGTAGTTTTCCCCAAGTCTTTATTATCATTCATGTTTGGAACTTCCTTGCCAGTTTTGTTTATTAAAGGTCAGCACACAAAATAAACTGATTTATACAATGGATCAGTCTAAATAGAATTAGTTTACAGTTTTTATCTGTTAAAAGTAATTTAGTGTATTAAAACTCAGAGATCTTAAATAACATTGGTTTGTATGGTATGTATAGACAAATGCAAGCTAATTTATTTCATGTAAGTATGTTTCACAGGAAAAATAAAAGTTGAGTGAAAAAGTCAATTACTTATACATTTTGTGCATAGGAACTTCAAACTTGATCTGAGTCTAGGGCTTCAAAAAGTTCTTAGAAAAATGTCATAATCTTTTTAATTTTTTAATGGAATATTTATCTCTGTACCTTTTCATTCTGTGTAAAATTTAACAAAATTTACCAACTCTTTGGAAGTTATCATAGCACAAACATAAATTTGAAATCCCATAAAAAATGTGCACAAAAGAGAACCTGTGAGTTGCTTACATCTTACATTTAAACATACATTTTCCACATAACTCAAATTCCACTTCTTGATATTTACTCAACTGAATTGAAAACTTGTTTACCAAATATTCTTTTTGTTTTTTTCCATGAAATTTTTCATCATCCCCCTCATATATTCATAAGGGATGTTCGTCTATAGTTTTTGGTTTTTTTTTCCCTGTGATATTTTCATCTAACTTTGCTATCAGGGTAATGCTGACTTCTTTCATCATCTGTGTTTTGGAAGAATTTGAATAGGGTTGGTATCAGTTCTCTGAATGTTTGCTTAAATTCCTCAGTGAAGCTTTCTGGTCCAGGGCTTTTGTTGTTGTTGTGTTGTTTGGTAGTTTTTTGTTTTGTTTTGTTTTTAAGTTTTTATTGTGAATTGAATGTCATGTCATTATCTTTTAATTCCATTTTTCCATGAACTCTCTGAAGCCCCTTCATACATAGACTATTTTTACAACTCAGTGATGTTTTATTGTGGATAGATACCATTACAGTCAATTTACCCTCTTTTACCCCCTCCTTCTGTAGACACTTCTGTTACTGCCTTCAATAAATCATCTTTACAAGGTAAGACACATGAATCAGTAGCAACAAATTGTGATATGAAATCTCCATTTGTTTGGGTAAATTGGAAAAACAAAGTATTTCTGTTTTTATAGCATTACTAACATGTACATTCTGTGAGAGATTTTAATTTAGAAAAATCCTGGAGTTATATCTCCTGAAAAATAATTTATAAAGTTGCTCCTTGATTTCTGAGTTTAATGACAATAATTAAATTTCAATGATTATTTGAAAACTATTACCATTTTAAGAATATGAGAATAGTCTCATATTCTTAATAAAGAATAATTCTGAAAATTAAGAATAATTTTCAAAAAAATTATTTTGTTTAATTAGGTAAAAATGCCAACAGTTGAGCAGCATTGTGGAAGAATCTCAGATTTCTTCAATTGAATAATTATGAGTATTTCTAAGAATCATGATATATTCACCATATGAAATTTTTACAGCCATTAAATTTTTTTGTGACTGTTTCATAATAACATGGACAAAGCTTATGCCAAGATGACCTTTTGAAGCATATAAATGGGTTTAATACAGATGTAAAAAAAATCTTTATATGAACTATCTAAAAGGAAAAAATATTAGCAAAATTTTAATAGTGGTTACCTTTGCATATATGACTATGGTTAATTTTTTCTACCCATCTTTATATTACACAATTTTATAATAGGTATGTATAAGGGATAAAACTTTATTAAAAATGGTAATAATAATAAACTTTGAATGACTTTTCCCCCATTAAAAAAAGCTAGGCTCTGATAATTGATTACTGTAATAATTACCACCATACTAAAAAGAACTTAAAGTGTACACATTATGTGTTATTGGAATCTTCTTTCTTTATTGCTTCCAATTCTCCCAATGTGCACTGAGCCTCTCAGTTTCAAGAACTGTGCATACCTAAGTAAAAGCATGCTCATGATTGGTGATTATCATGAAGAGTAGCTTAATTAAAGGAGTAAAAAATTCTTACGATCCTGAGGTACATATTATTAAGAATCACAAGATTGTTGTTGGTAAGTGTTATTGAATTGGTTTTGATGCATAGCAACCCCACATACGGTTTCAGAGGCTGGAAATCTTTGAGGAGCAGAAAGCCTCTTTCTGCTGTGGAACAGGTGATGGGATAACATCATGAGCCATGTGGTTTGCAGTCCAATACGTATCGTATAAAGAAAGACACTGTACTCCAAGAATCACAAAATAGGCATTGTAATTCTGACTGCATTAGCTGTCAAACTTATCATAGTGGTTACAAGTTGAACTGCTAACCTCAAGGTCAGTAGTTCAAAACTACCAGCCATTCCGTGGGAGAAAGGTGAGGCTTTCTGTTCCTGTAAAGATTTACAGCCTTGGAAACTCTATACAAAGTCACCATGAGTTAGAACCAACTCCGTGGCACACTACCACCACCAACAACAACTTTCCCCTTCTATAATAATAAGGAAGATGATTAAAAACTTGTTTCTGTGGTTCTTTCAAGTAATAACATTCTGTTACTTGTACTTTCCTTTTATTCCTAATTTTTTCCTCTCTTAGATATGCGGGACCAGAGAGTGTTTCCTTCTATTGTCTGTAGGGTTGCTATGAATCAGAACCTACTCGACAGCACCTAACAGAAGATACATAAACCTAATCAAATCCTATAATCACTTTGCCATCAGTTGTGGTGCTTGAATGCATTGATTTCTAAGACCCTTCCAGCCATAAATTATGTTTTATTCAGAGTATTAAATATTGTGAACTGAACCTATTTTCCAAGAGATTTGATGTTGTCGTTAAGTGCCATCGTGTTGGTTCTGATTCATAGCGACCCTGTATAGGGTTTTCCAGGAACAGCTGGTGAGTTTGAATTGCAGACCATGTGGTTCGCAGCCCAGTGTTGATCCTAAAGTGCCACACTAGGAGTCCATTCTAAGAGATTGTTTTGTTGTTGTTAAGTGTCTTCCACTCGATTCCAACTCATAGTGACCCTGTATAAGGTTTCCGAGGAATTGCTTGTGAGTTTGAAACGCTGACCTTGCAGTTCGAACTGACCTTTCGGTCCAGTGCATTATCCTGCAGTGCCACACCAGGATTAGAATAGTACTATTAAGAAAGTCTCCTTTACAGTGTCAGAATCTACAAGGTCGATCCTTACACTGTGAATGTCTCACCCCTTATTTTGTCTGATATTATCAGAAGCTTGTATAATAACTTAGAACTGTGCATGTGACTGTGCTTAGTCTGACTTATGGAAACAGGAGACTACTGTATTTGAGTTGCGTTTTCCAAGTAAACTCAAGTCCTTTGCTGTTGTACTGCTAATTCTGCATTGTCATGATCCCTAACAGAGAGCATTAAGTGAAAACTTGAGGTTAACTAGTGCCGAGAATGACTGGAAATTTCTTAACCTAAAACAACCATTTGAAATACTCTGGTTGTATTTACTGTACTGTGCCACCATGTGAATTTCCCATCTACTGTTTAATTGTACATCTATAATCAAATAGTGGAGCATTAAACTGTGCATATGTGTACACATGTGTGCATGCACCCATAGGTTGTACCTCTCTATCCTGAGTAATCATGATACTGCTACAATAAGGATTCTGCTGCCCAATCTGATTTTCTCATGCTCACAAAACACACACACAGTATTGGCAATTGCTGTTATGGAGCTGTGGGATAATGCACTGGACCACAAGGTTGGTTTGAACCACAAGGTTGTCAGTTCAAATTCAACAGCCACTCCTTGGAATCCATATACGGGGTCGCTATGAGTTGGAACCTACTTGATGACATTTAACAACAACAATGATTATTTATAGATAGTAAACAGTAAACAACAACAGATTACTTATAGAAAGCAAACAGTAGACAACAGGAATAGTCTTGTGAAAAGGGATGCACTCACCCTTCCCAAATCACCCATGTCTATTTCTGTGTCATTGGTCAGGCATACCTTAAACCAGCATGCCTCTCTGTCTCGGCAGGTATGTCACCAGATCAGGCTGGTGTGGTCTGTCTGTGCCCATTCTCTTTCTTTCCATAACTTTTCTTGGCCAACTCTGACCCTCTGTGATGCTGGTCCAGCTCTCATCCAGAAGCTTTGGGACAACCTGAGCCCATGCCAGTGTTAGGCTGGCATTACAGCATCTCTTGAGGTAAAACTCTTTCACAGACAACCCCTGTTGGTGACCTCCTGCCATGAGGTTCCCAGCTCCACCAGTGAGTCTTCTCTGCCCACCACTACTCTTGGTGGGTCTCTTGGTTCCCACCACTCATACTACCACTGCTGCTGTTTTTTCTGCCACTTGGCTCTGTTGTGCTTACTGCTGGGTCTTCAGTGTTATCAGCTCAGTGAGTGCTCCCAGGTCAGTGTTCTTACAGCTCTTCGTTTATATAACAGCTCTTTTGTGTAGTTCTCAAAACAGTGTCCCTTGTCTAAAAAAAACAGTTACATTCCTGACTCTTCAGTGAAGAATCCCTATCAGAGCCTTTATAGCCTAAGGTTTTTATAAGTCACTGAGCAGGTCCCCCAGCCAATTTCAGTAAAAAGCAACAACTGGCTGGGCCACCCCAGCCATCAGTATATTATCAATCTTTGCAAGTCGCTTATGCAGATAGCCAACTGACCAATCCTTCAGCAGATTGCATTAAATTGCATTCTCTATTAAGCCGTTGAGAATGACAAACCTAGGACCGGAAATGTGACATAAAATCTATTGCATCACAGGTGTTCTATCTGAATATAAAGGAGTGGCATTTCTAGAGCTCTTGTTCCCCTTAAAAAACAGAGATTATTTTAAATCATCTTTAAGTGCATGCTAATTTCAGCTATGGAGTCCTAGGTGTGGCACTGTAGAATCAGTACTGGACTGCTAACCACAAGATTGTAAGTTCAAACCCACCAGCCACTCCTTGGACACCATCTACAGGGTCTCTGTGAGTCAGAACTGACTGAACAGCATTAAACAACAACAACAGTTTCAGCTATACCATTTACTGTCCATGAGTCCATTACAAATCATTTGAACTCTGTGGTTATCTATTTCTTCAGGTTTTTAATGCAGTAATATCATCTCCTTCCATTTCTTGACACTCAGAGTAAATGCTTCTTGTTGTTAAGTTCCGTTGAGTCAGTTCCAACTCATAGCAATCCTGTATAGGGTTTCCAAAGAGCGGCTGGTGAGTTTGAACCAGACTTTATATTTCATACCGACCTTGTGATCCAGTGCTTTATCCCACAGTGCCACACCAGGTAAATGCTGCTGTTGTTGGTTTTTGTGTACCATTGAGTCGGTTCCATCTCATAACAACCCTTTTTAGTGTTTTTGAGGAGCAGTTGGTGAGTGCATATCCTAACATGCTACTGTTGTTGTTAACTACCATCAAGTCAGTTCCGACTTATAGCAACCCTATAAAGGGTTTCCAAGGAACAGCTGGTGAACTTGAACCGCTGAGTTTGTGGTTTGAACCATTAACTCACAGCACCACACCAGGTCTCCTTTCCTAAGATGATTCATCTTATGGTATCACTTAGCATGTTCTTTTCTCGTATTTTCTAGAGTGTTAAATCTAGAGACGTGATCAGATTTGGTTAAAATAATTTTGGCAGGAATACTTCATAGGTGTCCTTCTATTCAGACACATACAATGTCCAGTTGTAGTTTTTATGTTAACTATGGATGTGTGTTGCCTAGATCTTAGTTAACTTGGAGTGGCAAAATGGTGACTTTCTATTGCAAACATTCTTTTAGTGATAAGTTGGAGTATATATGAAATGCAAACTTCCTCATATTAGCTGTTTTATTACCTTGAGGTGGAATTCACTCTGAAAAAAGGAAGGATCCATGTGAAAACCTTTTATCAGCTTTTTGAATAATGTGCTGGTTCCTTAGCATTACGGAAGGGGTAACAGCAAGCATTATGAGTAGTAATATGTATGCACAGACGTAAACATATGCTGTGTGTTTCAATCTATTGATTTTTTATTCAGTGCTCAAGTCTGACTTCCCCAGTAGAAACCTTATCATTATTGGGGGTTTTTTTGCATTCTTTTGATCAGGTGCTAATAAACATTCATAGCTTTCTTTCTACTATTAAAAAGATGTTCCAGGCTTGTCTTGTGTATTTCTTGATTAAAAATGAAAAATCCAAAGTTTTCAATCATTTATCATTATTTTTAGTAGGACATGGTAGAGATAGTCTGGACCAGGGTGACTCACAAGCACTAGACTTGTAATTTTTTTGTAGGCCCATACAGTGGGCATTAAGAAGTACTTTTTGGAAATTTCAGAAAAATGTATATGTAGTCTTATGACTTGGCATTTACCATTCTGATTAAAGTGGAATTTCTCATTATTGACATTTTCGACTGGATAATTCTCATTGTGGGAGGTTGTCTTGTGCATTGAAGGATGCTTAACATCATCCTTCAGTCCCATCCACTTGACTGAGATAACACATGTCCCTCTATTCCCAGTTGTGATAACCAAAACTGTCCCCAAACATTTGACAACTAGATACTTCCAGTTGAGAAACATTGATTTAAAGAAAGATGAGCATTTATCAAACATTTGTTAAAGTACTAAGCGGTTATAAAGGAGGTCTGGTGGTTCTATAGAATAAGCTCTGGACTGTTAACTACAAGGTCAGTTTTCAAGCCCATCAGCTGCTCTGTGGAAGAAAGATGGAGCTTTCGGCTCCTGTAAAGATTTATAGCTTTGAAAATGCTATATGGGATCACTGAGTGGAAATTGCCTCAATGGGTATGGGTAGATCAACAATTATTAGCAAACATGTATTCGCAAGTAAATTATTTCATGACAGATTAGACCTGGGATAAAATTATTATTCAAAACAGACAGTGGGACAAACGCTATGGAAGTGATTCTATATCTCAGTTACTTTAAAGTGAGTTTCTGTTTCGTTTTGACCTTTGCTTCTGGAATGCTGGTCAACTCTATAGAACACAAACTATTGGGTCACAAAGAGCTGAGTGTGTGTTCTAACTCTGTTTCTTCTTCCTGGTTGTTGACCCTGAGTATGTATTTTAGTTTCTCTAAGTGTTTCCTCTGCTGTGAAATAGGAAAAAATAATACTAGGCTTGCTTATTGTACTGAGTAATAAATCAGGTACTACATATTTCATAATAAGCTATAATAAGCTGTTTCATAATAAGCTATAAATAATAGCTTTCATCTTTTGATACTTTTTTAAAAAGAAAAATAGTAAAACCTTGGAAGGGAACAAGAAACCTCATGTAAAAATCAAGATGCTTTTCTTCCATTTTAGAGCCCTGCCAAATATCACAGAACCTGGACATGGTGAAAGAGAGAGAAAATAAAGGCTTTTTCAGCTTCTTTCAACGTAGTAAAAAAAAACGGGAGCAAGTAAGTATTTTGCTTTCTTATGTATGGGTTCAGAAGAGTCTTAATTTTTAAAAAATAGTTCATGTTTTTTATCTTGAAATTAAAACTAGATTTTTCCTTTTTATTCTTTACTAGACTGCGAGTGCCCCTGCAACCCCACTAATCAGTAAGCCTCGCCCCACTTTTACGAGGTCCAATACCATTTCCAAACAGTATATTTCTAACACCCTGCCATCAGATGCACCCAAGAAGAGGCGGGCACCATTGCCTCCAATGGCAACATCTCAGAGTACCCCCCAGGACCTTGCCCACACTCAGGAGAGGCCAGCTTCTTTTGTTGTGAAATCCATGAGTGTGGATGAATCAGACAAGGTAAGCACTGTTTTGTTTTGTTAAGATGAGGCAAGGGGCCCATCTATTTTTCTTCTTACCTATCTTGTCTTTTTCCATACTGATTATTGGTCTCACATTGTAGGATAAGCACTGGACCACAAGGTCAGTTTGAACCACAAGGTTGGACTTTCAAACTCACCAGCTACTCCTTGGAAACCCTGTACAGGGTTGCTCTGAGTTGGAAATGACTTGACAGCACTAACAACAACTTGTTTATTTCCATATTTATTACTAATAAAGTTAGTAACTAGGTGCTAACTTATAATAAGATTAATAACTAATTAATAGTAAGATTGGTACTGGAAAAATACTGTATGTGTAGTTCTATGATGCAGTAAAGTATGTCAAGTTTAAGTAGTTTATTATTATTATTGAGTACTTTTTTTAAAAAAATTTTATTGTGAATTGAGTGATAGTTTACATGGGAGAATATCAACTTTACATTCAGCCTATCATATTTCATCTCATTGTAATGATTACAATCCCCTCCATGGATCATCATCAACAGCATTTGCTTCCATTCCCTCAGTTGTTGTTTTTTGGGATGTACACCGCAACACTTAGGAATATATAACCATTCAAACAACCAAAGGGAACACCCCACAAGCCTGCCCCCCAGCCATCAGCACATAGCGCCTCTCCCGCCCTGAGTCCAGAGTCCCCAACTGCTCCATCTCTCCACTTTGTCGCCTCTGTCTCTATTTCTGGCGTTACTGCTTCTCTGGATAGGGTCCCATACTCCACTCTTCTCCCTTGATAGTCCCAGGGTCTTCTACTCCTGGACTGCAAGCTCAAACCACTCCCCTGCTTTTGTTACACAATGTCTACCTTTATATTTGCAACACTCATAGTCAGTCCTGATAGCTATTATTCACTATTGAACCACAAGAGTAAATTTAAGTGGTTTTACATCCAAGCAAATACATGCTCCATTAATCTCAAAGTACATTTGGCTCTTGCTTAATGCATGTTATTGTTATTGTTGCTAAGTGTTTTCCAGTTTGTTCTAACTAATAATGACCCTATGTAGGGTTTCTGAGGGACAACTAGGAGGTTTGAACTGCCGACCTTGTGATTCGCTGCTCAGTGCTTATCCTGCAGTGCCGTACCAGGACTCCTGTTTAATGCATATTGTTGTTGTTGTTAAGTGCCATCAAGTCAGTTATGACCCATAGTGACCCTGTACAGAGTTTCTGAGGCTGTACATTTTTATGGGAGCAGAAAGCAGATAGGTTCCATTAATTTTAGGAACAGAAATACTCACTTTGGAGCACCTTTTATTTAAAAAAGAAGAAAGAGTAGCATAGTCTTTATATAGCCATGGGTTCCTAAACTAAGTAAATTGTCTTGATCTGGCTCTGAGATTCTCAGGGTGACTCTTGATGTCTTCTTGGTATGTAGGTGTTAAGACCTGGAGGCACAATGGTTAAGAGTGGCAGTCAGCTTCCATAAAGATGCTATTGTTGGGAACCTGATGGGCAGGACTACTCTGACCTATTGGGTGATTATGGGTCAGAATTGACTCTGCAGCAGTGGATAATGGGCCTGGTATGTAGTTGGATGCTCAAGGGTAAAATAAAAGTTTGGATTTAAAAGGAACAATAAGAAAGCTTGAGGAAAAGCACACCTATAATAATATTGTGGGGAATATGTTGTCATTATTTTCGTGCACTTTAATACCCAAAATAGTTATAGGTGTGCTTTTCCTCAAGCTTTCTTTTGTTGCTCCTCTTAAATCCAAAATTTTCCTTAAGAATGTCTTTCTTGTGTAACCAATGCATATAATCCACTACACCTCCTAGGCTCCTTGTAATCAGATAGTATATGATTTAAATAGCTTTGAGAGCAAGTTATTTTGAGATATTTAAGATACCAAAAGGTTTTCTTGCATCTAGTTAAGAATGTGTATTCTCTGCTTGGAAGCTTTGCAAATTCAGTGCTCAAGTAAATGAACCTCATTCCAGCTACCTAATACATGTTTCTATGCCTTTCTAACTTGTTAGAAACTTTTTGTGGCGATCCATTTTTATGTCTCCTGTTTATTCATATGGAACTTGAATAATTGTGATAGCATATAAGACTATAGGTTTTGCTGCTTGTAATCAGATAATTACAAGTCCTGGTGTGGTGCTGGGGGTTAATGCACTAGACTGCAAAGTCACTTTGAACTGCAATGTTGGTGGTTGAAGCTCCCCAGATGCTCCTAGGAAAACCTATACAGGGTTGCTATGAGCTGGCAAGTAACAACAACAATCAGATAATGGGTGGTAATGATTACAGCCATACTTTCCAAGATTTGTTGTTAGCAGCCCAATGTGTAACCAACTACATCTTCAGGGCTCCTTATAATCAGATACCATATGACTTAAATAGCTTTGAGGGCAAGTTTTATTTTGAGATATTTAATATACTGAGATGTTTTTTCATATCTAGTTTTAAATGTGTATTCCCACTTAGAAACTTAGCAAATTCAGTGCTGAAGTAAATGAACTCTTCCTAACTCTGGGTGTGGCACTGTAGTATGAGCACTGGACTGGGAACCACAGGTCGGCCATTCAAACCCACCAGCTGCTCCTTGGAAACCCTATATGGGGTTGCTATGAGTCGGAAGTGACTCGAAGGCACCTAACACCAATAGCAACAACTACCTGGTATGGCGCTGGACTGCAAAGTTGGTTTGACCTACAGGTCTATCTTTACAAATCAAGAGGAGAGTTATTTTTTTTTCAACTGATTAAACTGTTTGCTAAACAATTTTTTTCCTTCCCCAAGTAACTGCTTGGGAGTTGGGCAGAGTTTTTCATAAAAGGTGATTCTTGAATTTGGTCTTAAAATGTAATGGGGAGTGCACTAGTCAGACAAGAGACCCTGTTGCAACACATAGTGATGTGAAGATTGTGAAATGCCTAGGCACGAAATTGGAAAGAGTTGGAGACTGAATGAGGTAAGCAGCAGTGATCCCAAAGCTTTGATTTTGTGACAATAACCCTTTAAACTTCTTCATAGTAAGCCACTTAAAAATCCATTTCTGAATTGTTTTATATTTTCAGTTCCCACATAAGTGTAAATTATATTCTTAAGTACCTACCAAAATCAATTTTTTGTTCTTTATATATAAATAAATCTTAGCCTCTTTATTCCAACTATCCTCATCCAGTCTATTCCCGGGAAATTTCCTTTGTGCTGAGATCCCCGAGAGGGCTAGGTTTTTAAAATTCTAAGCTATGCTACCAGTGACCTCACCAAAAGCTGTTCCTTTTGATTTTCACCCTCTGCTCTGTGACTGGTTGGGACCCTCATGTTAAGTAATTTTTTTTCTTAGTATGTCGCCTTTGGCAAATTACACATCTTTATACAATTTTCTAATTATTTTTTTTTCTTTTGATCTGGACATCTGGTTAGTTCTTTGATGTATTGTTCAATTGGGCCCAGAAATATTTGTTTTTCCCTCAAGAATCTGAAGAGCTTTATTTATTCATTACAAAAATTCTTAATGATTAAACTATGGTCCTGTTTGTGAGTGTGTGTGCACATGTGTGTACATACACGTGCACTCTTGAACATGTGATCTCATGTCTTAAAATTCATCTCAGCACTTGTCTCCTTGACTTGTTATCAGTGTTCGATATAACTGATTGTCCCATGGCCTTGATTTTCTTAATCTCTCTTTGTCCTAATTCTCTTCTTGTATCTCATCTCTCTTTTCTGTTGTTTTCCTAACCCCACTTTTTTAACTCAGTCTCAAAATTCTTATTGTGGGGTGCCATCAAGTCAGTGCTGACTCATAGTGAGCCCATGTGGCATATGATTTTCTTAAGTGTAATAAAAAAATTTTTTTTTAACTTTTTATTGTGATTTGGGTGAATGTTTACAAGTAAATTCATTTTCCAGTCAACAGTTCATACTTGGGTATAATCTTCATGGGAGTACTTCGTGTTAGATCCATTGGGTTCTAACCACCAACCTTTTGGTTGGCAGCAAAGCACTTAAACATTTGTCCCACCGAGAGTACTCAGATCCTTGGTATTAGCCTATAACTAGTATGTTGTTGTTGTTGTTGTAATGTGCCGTGGAGTTGGTTCCGACTCATAGCGACCCTGTACAGTTTTTCCGAGGCTGTAAAGCTTTATGGGAGCCGAAAGCCTCATCTTTCTCTCACAGAACAGCTGGTAGTTTCGAACTGCTGACCCTAAGGTTGACAGCCCGATTTGTAACCACTACGCTACCAGAGCTCCTTAACTAGTATACTGTTTCTGAAAACAGTGTCTGTTCTTTGTGAGTACATGTGCTGATGGTTCTCAACTTCGGACTGCCCATCCCAGCATTTTCCCAGTTGCAGTTGAACTTCCTCTTGCATATTAACTCATCAGTACCTCAGCATATCTAAAACTAAATTCCTATTTTTCAATCCCAGACTGAAAAGAAGTGATTTGTTCTTTTTCTTTTCACATCCAGATAGTATCAACCTTCCACTCATCTGCCCTCATAGCGGCCCCTCATCCTTCCTTCTATTGCCCTTGCTGTAGATCTGCCTAGTGAGATATCCAGGGCAAAGAGCCCTCACTTGTCTTCCCACTTTTTTCTTTAAAACAACCTGTTATGGCTGGAAATTTTGTATTTCTTTGTTTTCACCTGCAAATCTCAGTTCAGAAACTTTGAATGGCTGGCTGTATTTTCTTGACACTTAAGGTCCTTCACAAATTGAAGACAATTTTACTTGTAAATTTTAATTCCTCATAATGTTTGGCATGTTTCTAACTCTAACCAAACAATTTACTCATTGCTTCTCATAGGAAATCTTACTGCTTATCTTTTAGAATGAGTGATTCTAACCTCTATCTTCATCTCTACTCACCTTTTCTAGTTATACCTGTTGTTTCACCTGCTCCATGAATTTTCTAGTTTCCAGCTATCTTTACTTTCTCTGACTTTGTCTCTCGTTTGTTTTTGCTTGTTTGTTTTAATTTATGTGTGTGTGT